TTTACAGATGCTTTTCGAGCTAGATTAATTTACTAGCTCCTTCTCTGTGCTACAAAATAAATTAAATTGATAAAAAAACAATTTGAGTATCATTTTCTGTAACATTCGAATTGTTTTTAATCAATTTTATAATTTAATTTATTTTGTAGCACTGAGGAGGAGCTAGTAAATTAATCTAGCTTGAAATGCATCTGTAAAGAACAATAAAAGGAGTTTATAACCTGAATTGGCTGTGAGGTAGTCTACCGGAAAGATTTTTTCGGATTGAAGAGACATTCACTAAATCAACATAAAAATATTCAGTTTGTTTCTACCCCCTTGAACTTAGAGATATAGAACATATGTCAATGAAAAACTCATAACAAAATTATTTATTTTTATCAAGCAATACATTTTAAGTGAATGCTTTCTCATACATTAATTCTCTTCAGGCTAAAAATATAACATGTGATTTAGATCTTACAAATAATATAAAAAACAAACTTACAAACTGATCTTTTTCTTTGAAACAAATAAAACAATTTATAAACTTTCTGCTAGTTGTATATCATCAATTGACTGGCATTAGTTTAGTCACAAGTTTAGTCACATTTTATTCTGCATGACATCAATTCACACACCCTCTATCTCAATTCTATTATTTAAATTTATAGTGTTATCTGCATGTATATTGTCATATGTTCTTTAAATTTATGAAAATACAAATCCTTCTCTATAGATGATTCTAACATTACTTTTAGTAATAACAGATCCAAATTCCTCACAATGCTTAAACCATTTAAACTGGTTATATTTTAGTCTAATTGCTGCTTTGTGTTCTCAAATTCTAATTTGCAGCTGTCTCCCAGTTTCCCCTATATAATTAACCAGACTTACACACATATAGTTAAGTTTATAGATTACCCAGCTTCCTCAAAATTGAGTGTATTGTAGTATAATTTTTGTATTTCATTGAAATTACCAAAATTAGTTTAATATCTAAGGTGATAACTTTTTGGTTATTTAGTTATTGTTTATAATTATTTGCTTTCTGTCCTATTTTTCAATTAATCTTCTTAATAGCTACTTTTGAATTTGCTATGAAAAGACAAGAATATGTGAGATAAAACCACTAATAGGTCCAAAATTTACATATTAATTTAATAAAAACTCAGTAAACTTTCCTATTGTAAACTGTGGTATGATAAGTCTTTCAAATTCATAACAATTTCAAAGGTAGCTATTAAGAAGATTAATTAGTTATTACTGTTAACTTTTTATTTGATTTTAGTATATTATATATAATTAGTTATATGACTGAATATATAAAATTATCATCATTGTAATATATAACAGAAAACATATGATAGCTATTTAACAATAATTTTAAGACTGTTGTCAGTTTATTAAAAATGCAAGAATGTAAAATACTTAACATTCATTTTGTAAAATTGCTTTATTAAATGTTTGATATTATTTTATATTTTTGCTAAAATTCATCAGCCTAAGAAAATTATTATTAAATATTACTATTAAATTATGAATACTTAAACAGAATAATATAAAACGTAAAAATTTACTTATGCTATTTTGTTTTATACTTTTAATAGTAATCAATTAAACATAGTGTAATATATTATTTTTATGTGTTTGATAAATTCATTTTGATTTTTTAATTACAAAAAATATCTTCATTTATATTAATTTATTAATTATAGATAAAGCAGTAGTTTTATATTACTTTTACTTTAATATAAATATTGAATAAAATTCCTTTTTACCTTTTTCTCTAGCTGTCTGACCCATACTATACTGTTAATAATTTCAGGCATATTTGTAAGCTGAGGTAAATTTTCATTATTTCCTTTAATACAATTAGAAAATTCTTGACGTACATTTGCAATGTATTCTAAAAGTTGACCAAGAAGCATTTCTCTAAATAAAAGAAAAGTATACATGACTTTTCTGACATATTTCCTTAACTCTATTCATTTTAATTTTGTTAGTTAGGTTTTACTTTTTCAAATTGCTGAAATACATTTAAAAAGTTAATATTAATATAGATTGTAACAAAAATTCAAATGCAGGAAATTTTCTAATTAATGAATATCAGGAAATCAATATTTTGAGCATCTGATACCCCTGTGTAAGGAGAATTCTATGTACAGAGAATAACAACAAATGATCTGTTACAACTTTACAACAACTATTTCTAAAATATATTTAGAAATAGTTATTTAATAAAACATAAAAAAAAACTAAAAATGTATGACAAATACTTAATTCTAAGCATTTTTCACTGGGAAAGTTACACATCTTGTTTCTAGATTTTTTATTCTTAAAACTATTGTACATATTAGCTATATAATAAATGATGTAAAAAATGTTCTTATATAGTAAAATTCACTCAGACACAAAAAGAGGCTTAAAAGTGATATAACTTTTGAATCTTTTATATTTGAAATTTTTAATATAAAATGGCTGTGGCTATCTATTTTATTCAAGTTTTAATTATCTGAGTAGTATTGGTCTATATTACTTTGGATAATCAGTATATTACTGCATTTCAATTTTTATAAATCTCTATTAAGGCCAAATGATCTGCCATCAGACTATAATATGATTACTATTTAAGAGATGACACCTCTATGCAAAATTAATATTTAATTATTTAATATTTAATTATTAAATAGTAGCTATGTTATAATACACTATAATCAGGCAGATCATTTGGCCTTAATCAAAAATTGGGTTAATGGATGTTTATATTTGTATAAATCTCTATTTCATTCAAAATCAAAGATGGCTTATTTTTTGAAATTTAAAAGATCGTTAATTTTGTTCATTCCTAACAGAAATATTAAATTTATGAAAATTTTAAAATAATTACATTTATTGATTACTATAAATATTGCAAAAAGCCAACTTTTCTTTCTAGATTGTATGAAATTTTGTTCAAATAGAATTTATTTTTTCAGTTTCCATTATAAGTTTCTATTTTTAGGTAATGTGGAATCCAGAACTCAAACTCTAAATCTGCCTTTATCTTGGCAATTAATATAAAAAAATTAAGAACAATCTTGATTTTTTATAATCATTGTGCCTAGATTAAAAAAAAATTACACATAAAAACTGTCTTCTAACACATTTAAACTCATAAAACATTTTATTTTCTATAATATCAAATACAGGAATGATGAATATCAAAGATGGGAATAAATACTTGGATAATTCTTGAATAGTAAATGGAACCTCATGCTATGAATCACATAAATGCTAATTTACTTTAAAAGCTAAAAATTGATGATTATTTCTAACAAATTTATGTTTGAAAATTTCAAGTGTCTTTTATATAAGTTAATCTTACTATGCAATTAAATAATGTAAATTTTTCCCCTACTTTTAGCAGTTAAAAAGTTGATGATGTTTAATTCCAAAGATTAGATAAAGGTTATCAATTTATTATTATTAATTTATACATAGAAATATTTCTATTTTTAAATTTTAAATTTTCAAAAGTTTTCTAAATCATTTGAAAGGATTCTTATATACATAATAATTCAAAAAAATTTCCNTCATTGACAAACACAATAAAATCACATACATTATAGACATAGCCATTCCAAACACTCACAATGTACAAAACACATGCGCTGAAAAAATTAGCAAGTACACAGAACTCGCCCAGGAAATAAGGCAGATGCCTTATTTCCTGTGCGAGTGCATGAGGAGGATGGATAGGGTGCTTATTGTACCTGTTGTTCTCTCCTGTACAGGTGTGATACCACACACACTACACAAAAGCCTGGAAACATTACAATTGAATAGAAATACATACATCACACTACAGAAGGCCATTATATTGAATACATGCCATATTGTTAGGAAATTCCTGAATACAGACACTGACACACTTATTTAATTTTTGTTTTTGGTTGCTATGCCTTGATTCTGGTCCGGCATAGTACACAGCCACCGGTGTGAACTGAGTATAACCCACTAAACCCATAATAATAATAATAATAATAAAATAAAAACTGGTAACAAATCTTAAAAGATATACAGTAAAATATACAGTGCTTTTTTACATTTAAATTTAAAATCAGAGAGTTCAAGATATAAAAATTCATTAAGTTATTGAGATTTTGTGATATATGGTAGGAGAAAGATCATTGGGATAGATTTAGATGATAAAAAGGAGTAAAATATTGATGGAATTTGGAGTGAAAGCCAATCCTGGTAAATAAGACCATTAAAATATTTGTAATTCTCAATATATTCTATGAAATCATACTAGAAATTTATTTTCTTTCTAAACTTCTACATTAAATTAATTTTTGATTAATTAATATATGTAATGTCATACAAATTCAATCATTTCTAGATATTCTTCTAAATTTTTTAAACATTTTATAAGCAATAGAGTATATATTGCAACTAATTTGACTGAATAGTGATTTAATATACTGAAGATATTAACATATCAATTGAATAATGTGGAATCTTTCTTATATTTCATACAAGATTACATACATAAAAGATTAAATTAATTTAGATATAAAATATAAAAATGCAACAAATATAAATACTTACAAAATTAGTTTAAATTATTACAACTAAAAAGAGTTTAATACAAAAATTGAGTATTATAAGGTAAAAATAAAATGCAGAATATTAGCAATAAATAAGCAAAAGTTTTAACAGAATATCCAGTAACCACAAAGAAGAAATATTTGAAAGTTATTAAAATACAGTTATACAATTATTAAAATAATATAGTTATTAAAATAATTTAATCAGATAAATTATTATTTGTAATTAAATTTTAAAAAAAAACAATTTTTAAAGTAAAAATAATATATGAGTATATACATTTTAAATTATTAATAAAAAAATATTAAGCTATGTAAAAACATTATCTATAGAAATTTATTGAAGTTTTTATTTTATATATGATAAATTATTGATTATAATATTAAAATTACAATACATTTATTTTAAATAATTTTTAATTTTTCAAGTCTTGACATAAATCAACCAGTAATATCATTAGATAAAGAAGGACAACCTTATGTTAACTACAGTCCACGTTTAGTGTCATTGATGAGAGAAGTTCGTCAGCTTCGTGTTTTGGGATATAATATACCATCCCAAATACAAGATCTTGATGATAAAGCAAAAATCTATTATAGTCAAGCTAAAGATCTTCAGCAGGTAATTAATTTTTCAAGTTCATTGCTATAACATTAAGTTTATATATTATAAATTTTAAGTGAATGTTAGTTTATTTATCATTAATTTATGAGACAAGTTAATTATGTATAATAAATTATTGTTAAAAATATATTTATTCTTTTTAAGCACATTTACATTACTGACAGGTTTCTTAATAATAATAATAATATTAGGCAGAGGCTTGCGTTTGAAAAGTAGGCCATAGTCTCCCTTGGTTATCGGAGGTAAAAGCAGTGCCGGCCCAAGCATGGCTACTGCAATGTCCTCAACAGACGTGAGGAATCAACCTAGCCTTGGTGTTTCTGTGGCAATGCATCCACAAACCACAAAGGTTGGAAAACCATGCCAACGGATGAAATGGACAACAGAAATGAACGAGTTTATCATCTGAACTTACTACACCATCACAAGACTCGAAACAAACATGATAGTGTACAGACAACAACTACATTACAGATTCACACAACAATATCCTCACTTCTCTGTCACCGAACATAGGATTGTTGATTAAAAAAGAACAATTATACACAACAACCTTATCCTGCAAATAACACTTGAACTTATCAAACAACAGGTTGCTGATCAAATACATCAACAGACAGAAACATTTAACATTAATGAAGATCATGTAATCTGTCAGGATAATCTAGCAACAAGCATTGATAATAGCACACATACAACAACTACCACTAATGATACTACAAGCACTTTCTCATCGATCACTGATAACATAGGCATAGAATTAGTTAATACGCTGTCACTTATATTTCAGGAAACACTCACTAAATATACAGGCACAGATCCCACACAAAGACACAAATACTGAAAATCAACACGTCAAAGGTAGTAGGAAAAACACTAAATTATGTAAACACTCACTTACTATCAAACTACATTCATTTAATTTCTACACTCTCAGACATTCATACATTAGTTTATGCTGGGGCAGTCACAGTAGTAACACACCATGTGTGAGGCTCTGGACAGGTTTGAACCCTCACTAAAATTCGCGTTAAAATAACTGTTTTAGAGAAAAAATATATAGTAGTTAGAGATAGATTTTTATTTTATGAAAACGCGACGTTAACTTTTAAACAATAGAAGAATGTAAGTCTGTCGACCATTTCCGGTTGGAGATCGAATTAAACTTTGATTTTGACCTCTCCCACGCCCCGAAAGGTTTCGAATTGTCATCAGGTGACGAGGAGAGACCAATCGAAAAGGTGAATCTGAGAGAAAACAGATAAAACTCCGGAAATTCGAGGACGCGATGGCTTCTTTTCCCGAAAGTTTCAAGTGACGGATCTGTTGTTGTGTGTGTGTCTCGCAGCCATCTTCGTCTCCATCTCCCGACCTCGGATTGACATCTTTCCATCATCGGAAGTCGACCGCATCGTCCCGGAGTTGTCGAAACGTGATGGAATGGTTCATTCGCAAACCAGGGAAACTCTTTCAGAATGGGACTATCTTGGAAAGGAGAGGAAGACTCAGAGGCCACAGCCGCCGCAGAACTTCCAAGATCACGGAAATCTTGTAAGCTTCTTTCGTGTTTAATAAACAGTTGTGTTGTTTGTAAACAAAGCATCTATCTCTGACTCAACTGCTTTCACATGTCGTTGATTGTTACCACTCGGCAATCCCAACGGCAAGGGAGACGATGACGATATATATCACATATTATCGAACATCGAGTTTTCTTTTATTTCTCCCCCCTCGGCCCCCACACATGGACTGAAAATACAATCACAGACAAAACACAATTCTATTACAAGCCTGCCTGGCAGAGAAGAATAGAAACACAAATAAATGACATTAGACAGCAATTAGGCATGTTGACACAATACACTAAAAACAACATAACACCGAAATTAAAGAAACAACTCAAAAACATTTTCAAGAAAATCAAAACACACACAAAACATGAACATCACAACACACACATTACAGAATACATTGATACACTAAAACAGAAACTCGCAACCAAAGCACGTAGACTCAAACGATACAAAACATGTACACTATGAAAACAACAAAATAAATTATTCACAAACAATAAAAAACTTTTCTACAGACAAATCAGTAACAAAACAAACACTGATACACAGCACAGTGGCACACCAACAGAAGAAGAACTCACAACTTATTGGTCTTCTCTTTGGTCCAATGCTGTTACACACAATGCTGATGTAGGCTGGATCGAGGAGGAGAACAGAAACTTGCCCAACATACCAACTATGCCCTGTGCTGAAATAAACGTACACGACATCCACTATGCTGTTAACAGAACACACAACTGGATGACACCTAGTGTAGACAACATTCACAATTTCTGGTACCAAAAATTTACATCACTGCATCAGGAACTAGCCAAACATCTAACACATATCATCATCAATCCACAAGACATGCCAAAATTTCTTACTCAGGGCATCACCTACATGAAACCTAAAAGCAACAACACCACACACACCACACAATACAGACCAATTACATGTCTTCCAACACTCTACAAATTATTGACAGCATGTATCACAAACAGAATATACAAACACATTGAAGAACACGACATTCTTACAGAACAACAAAAAGGTTGTCGTAGAAATCACAGGGGATGCAAAGAACAGTTACTCATAGATTCAGTCATTCTACGGCAAGCACACAAACAACACAGAAACATACACATGGCATATATAGACTACAGAAAAGCATTCAACAGTGTTCCACACAGCTGGCTGCTACATATTCTACACATGTACAAAATACATCCATCACTCATTGCATTCTTCCAAAACACTATGCAGCACTGGAGAACAACACTGCATCTCAGGGTTAGTAACACTGCCATACAAACAAACGAAATATTTATTAAGCAAGGAATTTTTCAAGGAGATTCCTTGAGTCCTCTCTGGTTCTGCCTAGCCCTGAATCTATAATCCAACACGTTAAACAACATGCAATATGGCTATAATATGAGACATGAAAAAACAACATAGTGTACACTGTCGCATCTCATGTACATGGACGACATAAAACTTTATACATCCACACAAAAACAACTTCATCACCTCCTACAAATCACACATTCATACATCAAGAACATACAAATGGAATTTGGCTTAGACAAATGCAAAACACTTCACATCGAAAAAGGAATCCTGAAGAAAGAAGATTTTGCACTTGGAAATGGGGACGTTATTTAATGCATGGAAGAGGGCGAGTTCTACAAGTATTTAGGATTCCAACAGGCCAAACTAACAGAACATACACAAATAAAGCAAAGATTAATTAAAGAATACCAAAATAGGTTAAATGCTATCCTCAGAAAACAGTTAAATGCAAAACACACAGTTAAAGCAATACACATATGTCATCCCAATAATCACATACTCTTTTGGAGTTATACATTGGACTCACACAGATCTTGAGCAACTCCAAAGGAAAACAAGAACAACACTTATTAAGCATAAACAACCACATCCTAAATCCGCCATAGAAAGATTAATCCTTCCATGTAAAGATGGCAGACTGGCCTGATTGACATAGTTAACCTTCACTACAAACAAATACAGTCACTGCAAGAGTTTTTCTACAAGAAACGAGAAACATCACAATTACATAAAGCAGTAACTCTAGGAGACTCAAATAACACTCCATCAAACTTGCACTCACATCATACAGACATGACACAACATATAAAAGCATAGACACCATCAAGAAATTGTGGGCTCAAAAGACACTCCATGGCAGGCATCCTTGCGACCTGGCCCAAGATTTTGTTGACAAAACTGTGTCAAACAGCTGGTTAGATCGGGGATGCCTCTTTGGGGAGACGCAAGGATTCATGTTTGCCATACAGCAGTGTTTTTCAACCTACTTGAATACACGACCTATTTACAAATTAAAAACTTCTGGCGACCCCCCCAGGGCCATATTAAAACTATATCAGTAATTTTAAAAATTACGTATTTAATTTTCTTTCTGTTGAGATCTAAANTGTAAATTACTTATATATATAAGTAATTTAATATAATAATATATATATATAATCACTTTAATTTGTAATGGTTGATTTTTCCCACACAACTCCAGTTGGATGACTCAAGACATTATTTTAACAATTTTAACACAGTCCGAAATACATATGTACAATCTGTTGTGACTTCACAGCCCCTCTTCAGTGATGTTTTAGAGAGAAAATAATTTAAAACTCTATTACACATTTGAGCTTTCCCATAAATGCATATAAAAAGATTTTTTTATGATTATATCCAGTTTTATGTATCTACTGTTTTTTAACTTGTTGTAAACCGACTTGTAGTCATCATCATTTTTACAAGTTAAAAAACAGTAGGTACATAAAACTGGATGCAATTGTAAAAAAATCTTTTTGTGTGTATTTATGGGAAAGCTCAAATGTGTAATGGAGTTTTTAATTATTTTCTCTCTAAAACATCACTGAAGAGGGGCTGTGAAGTCACAACAGCCTGAAATGCTTATGTGCAGTTTGTGTTAATATTGTTATAATAAAGTCTTTAGTCGTCCAACTGGAGTTGCTGTGGGAAAATCAATCATTACAGATTAGTGATTTTATACACATCAATATTATACGACATCCATGTTATGAAGTTATATATATATAAATAATAGCTAACGTTGTCAAGAGTTATTATTATATATATAAACAATTGCCTTAAATACTTAAATACTTGGGCTATAAATCTGCTAATTTTAATAATTAATACTAAGTAATTTGCTACTAGAGATAGACATTATGTGTCATCCTGCAACCTCTGATTGACTTGAGGTCTGCTTGCCAGTTGCGTCACCCAGGCCCCAAGCAGGCCTTCACTTCTAGATGTATTTAAATTTAGATATAACATTATGCAGTCAAGTACAGCATCAGCTGGGGACAAATCCTATGCTCATGGCCTAATTACATCTCCACAATGGCACTCAGCTAACTAACATTTTATACTGGCAAGGTATATATTAAACAACCTAAAGCCTGATATAAATATCATCATCATCAGTTTCAGCTTATTTTATCATTTCAAATTATGGTGTAGCCTCCCTTACATAATCATCTGCCATTTATGCCCATGTTTGCCTATCATTTGCTTCTCTTCACCATGCTTGTTTCCTTATGTCATAGTCCCATCTTAAGTATGGACATCCTTTGGGTTTCTTGATTCCCTGTGGATACCACATTGTGATTCTCGTGAACAATCTGTTGTCAGTCCTTGCCAGATGTCCTGCCCATTGCCATTTGAGAGATTTAATTCTGTGGATCACATCAGTTACCTGGATTCTTTGCCTAATCCACTCTATTTTTTTGTGATCTCTCTTGGTTATTCCTAGCATGCATTGCTCCATTGACCTTTGAGCAACTTGGAGTTTTGCTGTTGTTTCTTTCTTTATTGTCCAAGTTTCACATCTGTAAGTCATGACTTGTAGTATGCATTGATCGCATGCTCTTTTCTTCAGGTGGATTGGCATTTTAGACCTGAAAATTTCAAAATTTTGTCTGAATGTAGACCATGCTAGTTTGATTCTCCTGTTGATTTATGGAAGTAATGAGCCAGATTTGGATATTACTTGTCCAGGTATATATATTCAACTTCCGTTTCTAGTGTGATGTCGTTTATTATGTCTTGATCAACTACTAAATCATTGTACATGACTTTTGTTTTCACCAAGTTCATTTTAAGGCCAATTTCATTGCTAACTTTGTTTAAATCACTGACTACTACTTGTAGTTCTGCAGGATCTTTAGCTATCAGGATGATATCGTCAGCAAATCTTAGATGGTTGAGGTGTTCTCCGTCTATAGATATACCTTTGTTCTTTCAGTCTATTTTATGGAATACATTTTCTTGCATTGTTGTGAAGAGCTTGGGTGATATTGAGCTTCCTTGTCAAATGCCTTTGGTTGTGGGAAATTCTGGACTGTCGTCATAAATTTTCACTTTAGCTTTTGCTTCTCTGTATATGTTGGCTAGAGTTTGTATGGTTTGTCAATGCCTTCGTTGGTTAAAGCCTCTATTAATGCTCTGGAATATATGGAATCGAAAGCCTTTTCAAAGTCAATGAAGGCTATTGCCAGTTGTATTTGATATTCATTGTTAGGCTTAATAATTCTCTACGTTTGTATATGATCTATTGTATTGAAGCCACTTCTAAAGACATCCTGTTTCCATGGTTGTGCAGCATCTAATGTGTTTTTAATCTGTTATTGATAATCTTTGTAAATATTTTGTAAATAATTGGGAGTAAGCTTATGGGTCTATAATTTTTAATATTCTCTTTGCTGCCTTTCTTATGGATGAGTATTATATTCTCATTGTTTCAATGATCTGGTATGCATCTTGACTTTAGGCATTCCGTGTATATATTGATATATTTGCCAAGATTTTCCATGTCTTTCTGCCAGCATATTTCAACATTTCAGCTGTTATTCTCTCAATCAGTTGTTCATTGTATTTCCTAATATCTTTTGTAACCTGTTTCCTTATTGTATTACATAATTCTTTGTATTCTATTCTCTGTGTATTAGTACTTGCTTTCATTTCCCGTCTGCATTTTAACAGATCTTTAGTTTTGTTGGACAGTTTCTTGTGTTCATTTTTTTGCTGTGGTCATAATGAAAATCATTCTTGACTGTTGTAAGATCTACTATCTTACCACAGTCAAGAATGATTTTCATTAGCTGAGAGCTATTGACTTGGTCATGTAGTCTTTTGTCTAGTGCCCTTTGGTACTGATTTGAGTTTTCCATTAGGTTATGGACGTTGATTCCTAATATTCTTGGTTTTTGACTAACTTAAGTCTTTCTAGTTTTAAATTTAAGACAATTCTTGATCTGACTAGTCGATGGTCATTGTCTGTTTGGAATTTATTAAGAATGCTGACATCTTTAACTATGTGGGTCTTGTTGGTAAGAATGTAGTCAGTTCTATTCTTAGTCATTGCGTTTGGTGCTTCTCATGTCCATTTCCTGTTGGGATTCTTCTTGAAGAATGTATTTGATATATACATGTTCTGGTAACTTGCAAATTGCACCAGTCTTTCTCCTCTTTTGTTTCTTTCACCAAATCCATAGGTCCTCACTACTTGTTCCTGGTTGTTTCTTTTTCCCACTTTGGCATTAAAGTCCCCAATTAGATATTTGAAATGGCTTCTATTATTGTTCAGTGTCTCAGCTACATCATTATAGAATTCCTCTATCTCTTCATCTGGATGTGAAATTATTGGAGCGTATACTTGTACAATCTGTATGTTGTATCTTTTTGTAAGCTGTAAAGTTAAGCTCTGAGGTACTTGTTACATCGACTATTCTGTTTTTCCATTTCTTGTCAATTAGGAATCCTACACCCGTCATTGTCCCTTGGTAGTAAAGGGAATTGCCTGTTGTTAGATCTAGTAGCTCTTCACCTTTCCTCCTAATTTCACTGATTCCAATGACATCCCACTTTATTGATAATCTGAAACCGTGTTATGACTTTTCTTTGATTCTTAAACACTATGTAGTGTAATAAATTCAAACACTTGGCATTCTATCACCTTTATTTAATTCAGTTGATACATGTTTAAAATTCACGTTTTGGGCATAACATGCCCCTCTTCAGCCAACTTGGGATTATTTATAAATTGGGTATCATGGATGAATACCTATTTTTACAGCTTACACATTTATTGTCTATCTTTATTGTTTCCCTTTTGGGCTACAAAATTAAAATATGGATGTACTGTCAGTATGAGATTTTTCTTACATCTGTATTCTTTCTTATCTGTATTTATTCTTGGTTAAGATGCAATATAGTATTAAATTTTAATTCAAATTCTGCTATTTACTGTTATATAAAATTCATGTATGAATATGAATTTTATATACAGTATATATAGATACATAGCCAAACGATTACCTTAAATACTCAAGCTATAAATCTATGAATTTTAATAGTTAATACTAAGTAAATCTAAATTATTTAATAAATTATTTCAAAATTATAATTATTAATTAGATAAGAGATGGCACCTAACATTTACCTCTAGTAGAAAATTACTTAGTATTAATTATACAAATTAGCAAATTTATAGCTCAAGTATTTAAGGTCATCGTTTGGCTATGTATCTATAAAAATAAAATTTATCATGAGATTCTAACAATATATTAGACAAGTTTGACTTCGAAAATTATTTATTGGTTACACAATCAATAATATCCAAAGTCAAACTTGTCAGATTTCCTCATGTAACAGTCTATTTACTGTATACTTAAAACTGACTAACAAATTTTATTTAGAATTCAGTAAGTGAATTAAAAAGAATTATACTAGATTGTTAGTATTTAATTTTCTGTTTATTATAGAAATTTTAATTATTAAAACAATTATTATTTACAAATAGCATAATTACAAACAACTATTTACTACTATTAAGCTGATTAAGAAAATGCTTAATAAAAGAAAAATTCTTATATAACAAATTTAAAATGAGTTTTCCAATTATATACGATAAAAAATGTGATGAATAAAAATACTAAAATAATTTATAGCTCATTCCTCATCACATAACTTCTTTTATTTTAGGCAGTGGACAGCACAACCAGAACAGACCACTCAAAAAAATTTTTGACCTGCACTTGAACCCAGGTCTCCAGAACAGAAGGTTAATGCCTTTACTCTATGGCCAGCCAGCTGTCAAAATAATAGATGCCTGATGNTGTTATTACAATATTAATTTATAGTATTTCCCAAAGTGTGGCCCACATACATTGGGTATGTAGAGTCTTAATGGGGTACAGTACATGACAATATTCAGCTATATACCACTGACACGTATGATCATTATTAAGAAAAATTACTGTAATAACAAATTATTTTAAATGTATCTATTTTATATGAATTCTCCCATTCAAGTTGTAATAAGTGCTGTATTTGGATAGTTTGCAAGATTTTCTCTTGACAAAGGAGTACTTGGTATATACAAAAACTTAAGAAGCATTACATGGATGTCAAAATTTTGGGAAACAATAATGTATTAGAACAATTAAGGAAGTAGTTAAAAATTATGTCTACATTTTTATAAATGAAAATTAACCATAGATTTAAATTGAAACTTTTAATCTTTCTGAAAATACTTTTGAAATTATATGTAAGTCTTTGTGTAATATATTTTTTTATTTTTTTGGATTTTTCTTATTATTTTCCTAGTTCTAGTTTGGAGTGAGGTAAGTTTATTTTTAGCCAAATGAAAATATTATTGCTGATCCAAAATAAAATTATAAAAGTATTCTCAGTATTTTCATTTTATATTTATTTAAAAAATTCTGAAATACAGTAAACCCCAGCTAACTTGGCCTAATAGGGAGTGAAGGTTGTTGGAGTATATGAGTCTGAATTAGCAGGATGATTTTTCTGACAATGTAGAAAATGAGAAGATGGTTATACAATTCAATAATGTGTTACAATCAGCTCTGTACAGAAGTTTTACTAAGCTTTATTAGATTATACTGCTGAATCCATTATTACAGGAATGAGCTCAAAAATTTTATGACAGTACACAGTAATGTTCAGTCTTTAATAAAAATTGACTGAATGCAGTAACATAATGCATTATATCACAAAGACTTCCAGATGTTGAAAGCACATGTTAATTATAATTTCATTATAATTGTAATTACTCATTAAGTATAATTTTTCTATTATCAAGAAATTTTAAATTACTGTACAATTTTTTGAAAAATTTGTTTAAGTTATGTGAAGTCTAAGTTGGCATGGTTTGAGTTAATAAGAGTTTACTGTATTTAGTATAGTGATGATTCATTTAAAATTTTTTCAATGAAGCGAAATCAAATAAACTACAGAAATATGTTTAACTGATCAATTCTAATATAAGTATTAGAATTAATCAGTTAAACGTATTTCTGTAGTTTTTTTGATAACTTTCATTTGATGTTAGTAAAGCATTTTTTGGTGAACTAAAGTTTATATAAATTGTTTCTTTCTGATAAATTTTAGAAATTGTATGCTCCAGTTTCGTCCACCTATTGAAGAAATTCGAGCTAAATATTATTCTCAAATGAAGAAATTTCTTTCAATACCTGTAGTTTTTAAAGGCGTAAATGATTTTACTGAAAATCTTATTTTTCCCATTATCATTGAACGAAATTCACAACAATTCATAAATATTTATAAAAAGGCTGAAGAATTGTTTAAAAATTTAGAATCCATTAGGAATAAATTAAAGGTATGATAGCAATTTTATAAAAAAATATATTTGGAAAAATTTTTTGTTAAAATAGAATATAATACGTTTTAATGTATAGATTTTTACAATTTTATTTACAACATTTTTATATGGAAATATAAAATAAACAAAATTGTCTTTAATATTACATTTTATACTGACACTTAATCTGGATTAGATTTCTAAATAGGCACAGTTGGCCAAAGCCTAGAGCAGCAGATTGAGGTGCAGCATAATTAGCAGATATAGTGTAAGAATTTCATAAAAAAGTAAATAATATGAAATATTACAATGTTTCTAATATTAAGTCATCTACATAAACAATGATTTAAATAATCTAATTACATCAAACAGATAGCTTTAATCACTTATAATGAAAACATATATCAATATGCAAGATATAATTTTTAATTAAAACAAAATGTATCATTTATGTAAACTTTCATTTAGTAAAATGTATTGTTTTCATAATTAAAAAGATGTATTAACTTTGGTACACTTTCACAAACTATTCTGTAATTAAAGTCCAAGTTAATATTGGAAGCATTTATGTTTAAGCTATGTCAGAAAAGGCAGCATTCTAGAAATTTCTAGCCTGTGCCTACAGTTGAAAAAGAGTGAAATCCAGCCTTGCATTTAGTACCAGAATCTTATGCAACTTTATATTCAATATAAATTTAACAGTCATGTATACTATATTATTAAGAATTTAAATAATGTAATATTATTTTGAGAAGAACAATAATTATGATTATGAATCATTGTGTAATACAGTAGAGCATCGATTATTTGAATCAATTGGAGACTGGGGTTGTTTGGAAAATCTATTTTTTGGATAACCGATTATGTACAAATAAATACATTATTAATATAGTATATCCCAATAATAGTATATTAATTAATATATCACATGTTTAAATTTTTCTCCGTTGCATTGTGTGTCATTTGCATTGAATTTTTGTCAATGTTAAGCCTAACAAAAATTTTTATAATAATAGTCATGGCTATTGTATCGTTAAAAATTATTTCCTTGTTTCATACAAACAAAATAAATATATTGAAAAATATAAAAACAAGAAAAATTATACTGTAGAAGTTAATCTAGTATCAAAAATGTTCGATTCATCATGACACAGTCCGACTGGAACGCTTTCAATTAACCAATGTTTTAGTTGATTGGCATTCAGATAATTGACGCTCTACTGTATTTCATTGTTCTGATAATTAGTAATACTTCACAATATTTTGAAAATTTAAATTTAGTGGAAATTAATGTTAAATTTATATTAAAAGGGAATTGTATAAAATATAATTTCCTTTTAGTTAAAATTTATACTTTAGGCAAATATACATTTTCTTTTTAATATAATTAAATGAGTGGTTATCAAGCAAAAATGCATATTCTAAATTTTATGCAAGAATGAAAGATTTATTATTCAGGTGATTTTTGTCTTAATCATTGACAAACATCAATGCGATAAATGATTAATGAAAGAGATTTGTATTAAATTACATTTTGAAATTTTGTGAAATGCTATTACCAATATATTAACAGATAGAAAATTTATTCAGAGTAATACATAACTTTATTCCAGTGGATACATTACTTTTAATTTTGCATTTATAGTATTTCCAGTTTCAAATAATTGTTCAAGTTATTTGATATTAATTTAAATTATTTTTGGAAAACATTAAATCTTTTAGGATTGGGTTGTATTAGGATCTTTGAATATAGAAGATTTTGTGGATAATCATTGTCATTCACCAGAAGATTGGAAAAGAAGTTTTAAAGTAATCAAAGCAAAAAGTCAAGAATTTAGTAAATTACAATTGTAAGTAACTTATGAATAGGTAGAAAGAACTATTTATAAACTATATACTTTTTAAATTTGTTACAAAAATAAATTACAAATATAAATTGTATATTCATAAATGATATAAGTATTTGTATATAAATATATTTGTTATTTGAAAGAATAAAAAATTTATAAAATAAACTGACATAATAAGGCAACAGTACTTCCAGAATTTGGTTAAGTTTAATATAAATGAATTTATTAAATATAAACTCTAAAAATCATCCATTTTTTAGACTTTTACTGATTAAAATTAATAAGAGATTAATGTGTAAAATGATTTGCTGAAAGCAAATTATTTTAAACATCAATGGATTTATTAGTCCATGTATTTGTAAATCGAAAATTAATCCAGATAATAGCAAAAATTTAATTATTAAGTATAAAATGTATATACAGTAAGACCCCACTTAACGTGGGGGATGCATTCCTAGACAACAAAGCACTAAACGAAACAGGGTTAAATGAGGTCATTTTAACATAGAGTAAATGGGAATAGGGGAATACGCGACCAAAAATAAACAAATTTTACTTTAATTTTAAGTTACTTATATATTAATTTATATAATAATATATGTAAAATAACACATAAATAGGCACACTGAAATGTAAAGTTCATTTTTTGTGAAGAAGGTCCTGACTTTTCTGAAATTCTTGTTTTTGCCATAAAGTCATGAAGTTTAATTTGTTGCTTTTGTTTTTCCTTAAGCAAATCTCAGTAGCAGAAGATCGTGTCCAAAATGCCTCGTTTTGTTTTGCACTCCTTTCAAAATCTGGATCATTCACTACAGTTTGATTGACGATTTCGGTTATCTTACTAATTTTTACTAAGGAAATCTGCAGAGAAATTTTTTGGGTTCTTTGTTTTCAGAATCTCTATTTTCCAGTTCTACACGAATTCCATGTTCTGCCAGTTCTTGAATGTCGTCGTTGATAAGACTCTCACCAGAAACCTGCAGTAACTCCTCAATATCCTGCTTATCTACATTTCCTAGTCCTGATGTATCAATTAGATTGAGTTTGATCAACCTAACGATACTGCAATAGGCTCTTCTCGTTGAGAATTCTTGGATACCTTTAGTCATAACTTCTTCCACACTTCATTCATGCATTTATCGGTTAATTCTTGCCAAGTGAAGCCGATATTGACTATGGTAACTGTGATGTTATATTTTTTCCAAAATTGCACCAAACAAACACAATGCAAAGAAAGTCCAGCGCTACGACGAATTGCCATCTTTTGCTGATTGGTTCGTGTTCATAAATAATTGTATTATGTACGAATCGATAAAATGCCATGATAATTTGAATCAGCATAAATTTTGAGCTTTTTTTTAAGCTTTGAGCAGATGGCATTATATCAAATCATCATTAAGCGAGGCAGCACTAAGTGGGGTTTTGCTGTATATTTTTTTGAAACGATAGAAAAAATTTTTACAGTTGATGTAAGAAATCAAACTATTGAAAAATAAATCATAAAATGCACAAAACATTTACTTGTATGTATACATGTATACAATTATTTTACATCATTATGAAACATTACAGAATATTTTGTAATGTTTTACAATTATCTAATAATAACAACAACAACAATAATAATAATAATTAAAAAAATACTAATAATTATGAATAATAATTCATATCTAATTTTTATTGTCATTGTAAACATTACTATAAAGGTCTTTTTAATATTTGCATTATCTACATTAAAGAAGTTTTAATTTTTTTGTTATTGAAATATTTTTATTTAATTTCATTCAATTTTAGCATATTATTTATTGATAATGTAATGACAATGAAACAACATTATTTTTTGATAAGAAACTCATAAGCCAAACTAACTAAACTAGATAGTTGTTAGTTTTGCTTATGAGTTTAGTTAGATGCTAAATCAAAATTAAGATCAGATTTTTAGTATTTAGCAAAGAATTTAAAGAATAAACAAATGTTTTTAGCCATTTTTAGTAGAGATTATCAGATTATATTTATATTCTATAATTCTAGAATATTGTAGCATCTATCATTGACACATGACATTGGAACAATTTAAACTTGAAATTAAAATATAAAAANGGGCCATATTAAAACTATATCAGTAATTTTAAAAATTACGTATTTAATTTTCTTTCTGTTGAGACCTAAATATCGATCGAAAAACCAATTATACTGTAAAATAAACAGGTACAGCCTTCTCACTGAAATTGCAGTTTTTTTTATTGTAGTGTAGGACCTACAATACTTGTATTTTTCTTTTACCTGCAACCTCATGTAAGGCTTTGCGACCCCCTGGAGTCGCGACCCACAAGTTGAAAAACACTGCTATACAGGATCAGGTCATAAATACTAAAAACTACAGAAAACACATACTCAAAGATACAACACTCACAAATGACCCATGCAGAAAATGTCACATCATGTCAGAAACTATACAACACATCACTTCTGGGTGCAAGCTCTTGGCACAGACAGATTATTTACACAGACATAATCAAGTAGCAAATATAATACACCAAGAGCTTGCAAACAAACACAAATTATTAGACATCCATGAACCATACTACAAATACATTCCACAGGCAGTATTGGAAAACAACATGCACAAACTATACTACGACAGAGCCATAATTACAGTTAAAACAATTTACCACAACAGACCAGACATCACACTGATTGACAAACACAATAAAATCACATACATTATAGACATAGCCATTCCAAACACTCACAATGTACAAAACAGATGCACTGAAAAAATTAGCAAGTACACAGAACTCATCCAGGAAATAAGGCATCTGTGGAGGATGGAAAGGGTGCTTATTGTACCTGTCGTTCTCTCCTATACAGGTGTGATACTACACACACTACACAGAAGCCTGTAAACATTACAATTGAATAGAAATACATACATCACACTACAGAAGGCCACTATATTGAATACATGCCACATTGTTAGGAAATTCCTGAATACAGACACTGACACACTTTTTTAATTTTAGTTTTTTGTTGCTATACCTTGACTCTAGTCCAGCATTGTACACAGCCACTGGTGTGAACTAAGTATAACCCACTGAACCCAACATAATAATAATAATTACTATATTTTTATTTGCTGTATTTGTTAAACATACTGATTTAACATATTTGATTGAAAAAAGTTTTAGTATAGGTATTGAAAATTGTTTACTGAAGTATCTGTAAGTGTTACTGATATAAATTGACAATTATTCTTCATTCTATTCAAAATAAATAGACAATTATCACAATTTCCTGTCTATAATCTACATCAGCAAGTAATCCACAAGTGCTGGTGACAAAAATGCTTATTATCATAAAATTATAATCTACAGTGGGTAATTGTTCATTGAGAAAAATAAAATTTATAGAATTTGTGAAACTTTACATTATTTATTTGCTTTCTTGTCATAGCAATGAAATGATGCAATTTATAAGGGCATTATTTATTATTTAAAGGTAAAATTATAATTAAAAAGGAGTTGTCCTCAAATTTAGGAAAGAAATTGAAAAATTCATTTTAGTGATACAATGAATGTTTAAAATCTAGAGTTATAAAATACAGTCAGTCCCTACTTTACAACCTCTAATGTTACAATGGACAAAACTGGTATATTGAAGAAATTGAATTCCAAAATAAATTTGGAATTCAAATAATCAGTTACACTCACTAATGGCACAGTATAGCAATTAAATGTTAAATGTAATACTGTAATGGGTAATACAGTAGAGCCTCGAAAACTCGGCCTAATGTGGACCGAAGGGTGGCCAAGTTTGTGAAAATGCCGGGTTATCGGGAATGGGGTTAAAAAAGGATAAGTATGCATGTTTCCTCAGAAAATATTGTACTGTACTTGTATGTATTGTTTGCTTGAGAATACAACAGAGAATAAACTGCCCAAATACCCTTAAACAAAGGAAAAGTATGTCCTTTATGAAGGCATAGAGCCTTTACTACATGAAAATGAAAATTAATGAATACACTGTG